TCTGTGAAGTTTGCAGTTGGACACGACTTATGCACTTTTAAAATTATCTAGGAATGGTGACGTATAAATAGATGTATGTGGTAGAAGAAAAGAAACTAATTCTGCTAGACCGCTCCGGTGGCCTAGTAGTTAGAGCGTCCGCTTCGTATACGGGAGGTCGTGGGTTCGATCTCCGGTCGAATCATACCAAAGACACAAAAATGGTACCAACACCTGCCTTGCTTGGCGATTAGCATTAAGAGGTTAGTTTTAGGACTGGTCGGCCTGGTGTCAGGATAATGTGACTGGGTGTGACATCATGCTACATGTCTGTGGTATGATGCCCCAGTGCTACACATCACTATAAACTGCCGCCACACTGCAGACATAGGAGAGATATGACTGACAAATTGTTAAAGCTACTTTATAAATCTAAATCACTCACACACACATACACACACACATTTCTGCATTAGAATGTACACCTTTTCTGTCTCTAACAATTAGCCACTATCCGTGTCTAGTCTCTGTAGAGAAACAGGAGATATTTCAGGCCTTCATTATCCATTTTCATAAAAGTTTCTTACAGATGATGAGTCGAAATCAAATAGCACAAGCATCAGTCAACATTATAATTAATGCAAAAATAGCACACAAGTATCTAGGTTTGAAGTTTTCATTGGTTACTTGCTGATGTCTTTAATACTTTGTTCAAGTGATATGAAATGATTCTCCGAAGAGACATGGAATTGTTTAATTAAAGCCATGATTTTTTCTTTTCGTAAGCAAACTTTAGTTCCTAATTAAATGTATGCAAACCACAAAACTTGATTATTTTGAACGAGTATTGATTTCATAGACGTTTCAGGTGAATGCTGTAAATAAAACGTTCTTCAAATTTTATGGGCACCATATCAATCTGACACTGCCGCAGAACAGTACAATCTGCATTACCTTGAAGAGTAACTAAATATTCCATTTGATAGTAATTATCATTCTGTGTGCCATGTTGCTTCGTTGATATCAGTCTTAATGGAAAATTAATAATTTATCGTCCACATCAGAAACATGGCACACTAAAGTGGCTATGGAGTATATTTGTTTCATCAGCAGGTAATTATTTTGTTGCTAAAGGATGAAGTGCCCCCCTTAGTTATTTTCATGCATTTATTATGTCCACGAATGAGAAAGTCCCTCTGGCTTTCTTTCAGTGCTGTGATAAAGTGGATACCCTATCTTCTCAACAAGACTGATTGCATACAGAGTATTTTTCAAGAATGCCATTTGGCATATACTGGAAACAATACTGTCCTTTGAAGTTATCTTTTAGACCAAACTGGGCTTATTGCCGCGTTTCTAAAGTATTGGCATAGGTTCCAGCAATAATCATAAATCGATTTGATAAGGAACTTAATCGACTCTTAAAAATCGATACGCCTAAACAGATAGCGCCAATACTAGCTGGAAATCATTCTTACATAAGTATCAAAAATGGACGAAAACGAAGAGAAAGATATATTAGAAACAGTATTTGCAGGAGATGTGACGGGCAATTAATCATTTAATGACTCCCCGAGAAAATTATTCATAGGTTTCTACCATTGTATGGAAAAATATTTATTTTTTATCGATACTGCACACCTTTGGGAACGCAGTATCGCTCAGAAAAAGGAATTAATATTTACCTTTCAAATATATTAACTTATTTGCTATATCTTCGTTGTTCGGGATCGTTTCTAACATGAATCCGTTTCGAATACCTATAAAGAAAAGAAAGGTATTTGTCTTTCAAAGAGTATACCTTATTTTGGGTAAATCGCCTGTCTCCGACACTAAAACTGTTTTAGACAGCATTGCAACGTTTAAATGGACCTATAGATAATTCAAAATGAAATATCAAAAACAGGTATTTATCGATTAAAATAGAACCATGTTTAGAATTCATTATTCATCATATAGTGCACTGATAACACTATTGAAAGCAAACTAGTTTCATTTCTGCTAATTCCAAGAAGCTTCATAATAAGTACAACTGAGTTTTGTAGTGTTTACAACGCCACATACTCGCTAGTCATGTTCACGTGGTGTGCAGTATGACGAAAGTCCAATAGCTTTGAATTGAGGGAAAAAAGAATACATAATGATAATTTATATTTGATTATTTCCTCTGCTGCTCTCAAAACAAACTTATCATTTTAAATCATGTTATATTGCTATAATAATTTACTATTTTCTTTAATAAATTATTTGATCAATATGAAATTAGAAGCATACAGCTAATTGTGCTGTCATATCTCCAAATTAAATCTCCGGTGGCCTAATGGTTAGAGCGTCCGCTCGGATACGGGAGGTCGTGGGTTCGATCCCCGGTCGAGTCATACCAATGACATACAAAAGTAGTACTAACAGCTGCCTCGCTTGACACTCAGCATTAAGAGGTTAGTGTTATGATTGGTCGTCCTGGTGTCAGGATAATGTGACTGGGTGGGACATCATGCTACATGTCTGTGTCATGCCTCAGTGCTAGACATCACTATAAACTGCCACACTGCAGACATCGTAGCGATATGACTGAAAAATTGTTAAAGCTACGTTAAAAATTATAAACACCACCAAATTGAATCTGATCTCTAATTAAAGCAATACTTGTCTGCAGTGTTATAACCCAAGATTAAATTGGATTTATTGTTGTTGTTTATCTAATTTATTGAAATAACTTTAGGCAATAACGGCTTAAACGATGATGACTAAATTATAATCAATTATAACAAAGAGATTACCCAATCTCATTCTATGCAAATTTTGTATAAAATTGCATTGTACGCAACAAAAAAAAATGTTCAACAATTTTGTCTCAGTTTTCCATAATTGAAAGCTTTGAATCTGAAAATACACGTTTTATTATGGAAAAGAAGATCCAAGTTTGTATTAATGATCATACATATGTACAGTCATGATTGACCTGACCAAATAATTTCTTATTTAGATTAAAAACATTAAGATAATTATGTGAATTTGTTTCAAAACATACATAATGACCAAATATGAACTTTTTCGAACATGCTGTTTTAGATTCATCATGATGTTACAGGCACAAACTAGGTTTCGTTATTTGCACTTCTTTCTCCAATTCTCTGTCTTTAACATATTATTAATTGCTTTCTCGCATTTTGTTTCATCTATGGAAATGACAAACTACCACCGTTGTATTATTATGTTCAACTATATTCATATCCAGGAAACAGTAGCAATCGATTAAAGACATTTTCTAGGAAATAAACGACATGTAAGCACGAGGAAGATATTATTCTTGTTTAAATTAAGATAAATGAGCTTATTATCATGTTCAATAAAACGTGCAGAAAATTAGAATAAGTTAAATATCTATTGACGTAGGACCAATACATAACATCGACAATTATTCGTGCCAGTTAATCGATGATTTAATTCTAATTCAAAAATATGATTTAAGATTGTTTATATGATTTTATCTAACTATCTGACTTTATGTTTATTAGATTTAATCAATCTGTAAAATCGTTCATTTGGAGACTATACAGCCTTGAAGAAAGCTATTTATCAAATACATTCTTAGAGACTGGTCACCAACCTTTGAAACGATCCCATAAATCATGGTATCTATAATCAGTTTATACAGCCAAACGTCTGTCTGACATTTATATTACTTAATTATAGATTCATGGCGTCCAATACATACATATCATGTTTTGAGCATGGAAAGGAACAAGAATCAAAATAAGCTTACTTCCTTGCCGTCAGAACACATTTTCCCTATTAGTGAATTAGATTTGCCTGCTTTTTGTTCACAAAACTCTTTATCAGAAATGCACGTTTCATGTTACCTTTTCCTCCTTTGGATGAAATAATATCTGTTATCGTATTTTAATGATATAATCACTTATATTTAGCAGAATAAAGTAAGCAAGAAATAATCAATTACTATAGTCATGTAAGTAAATTAGTTTATATATATATATATATATATATATATATATATATATATATATATATATATATATATATATATATATATATATATATATATATTCGATATTTAAAACCTGAAAGGTAATTAAGAGTAGTGTTTTGTTAATGCAATGTAAATACCACAAAATGCTTGAGAATGCACATTGAAAATAGGGGTAATGCTTTAGGAAATAAAAAAATCAAATGTTGCTTTAGAAAATGTCACATATTGCTTTAGGAAATGCTCTCCTGCGGACAGACGCTCAACACTTAAACATTAAATTCTTTCCATGTTCTCCAGAACACGTTTGCAAACAGGACAATGTGTTTGATCAATGCATTATTGTTTAAGATAAGAACTTTGCTTAAAATCATTTTTGTTAAGGCAGCCGGATCATTTGATTGTGGTATCTGCATATTCAATACACTTTTATCTAAAATTTATGGCCCAACGGTACTAATTATATATTATAAAAATAATATGCAGACCATTTGCGAAGTGGGTGATCTAGGGTTTGGAGGACCATCAATGGATGAATACAAAAAGTAAAAGCACAACCATTTAGGAATTTATCGATCTTCAATTAAAGTAAAATAAAGTCATGACTTTAGAACATTCATGAGATGCAGAATGGGTGCCATGTTTCATGAATAAATAGAACAAAAATGCTTTTGCACTCTGTTGTACAGATGTATATATCAAGTATGCACCACCTATAGTGAGATATATAGTCTTGTTCAAAATTTAACATTAATAAATTTAATGTTTCCATTGGTTTCTATGGGGACTAAATTCAAACGGTGAGTCCATAACCTGTTGTGGTGTGGTGATTTAAATTTTTAACGTAGCTTTAACAATTTTTTCAGTCATATCGCTACAATGTTTGCAGTGTGATAGTGATGTTTAGCACTGGGGCATCATGTCCCATCCAGCCACATTATCTTGACACCAGGTCAACCACTCCTCATACTAACCTCTTAATGTTGAGCGCCAAACAAGCAGCTTTTAGTCCCATTTTAAATGGTCTTTGGTATGACTCCGCGGGGATTTGAACCTACGACCTCCCGCATCCGAGGCAGACGCTCTACCACTAGGCCACCGGAGCGGTCTAACAAAAACGTGTATATAAATAAAATGAGTTGCTAATTACACTGGCTTATAAGTCGATTCAAGCTCAAAAGAACACAATTTCTGCTCTGCCGTAACATAATGCGCATGTAAATGAGCGTCTCTGTTCTACTGATTACTCCTAACAAATAATATAAACCCAGATCTTCCGGACTCATTATGAAACGACAGATCTGAGTCTGTGATGTTTGCACTTGAAGTCGACCTATAAACTCTATTTTAGATTCATTTTACATTCTTCAACATCGATTCGCTTATTTAGCACATATTTATGAGGCAGATATAGAATACGATATATGATTATTGCATAAACATAACGGTTATTCCAGGCGCAGGAAGAATTGCGGTTTCTGGAGCTTAACTTATCTGAAAAGGAACGATTGACAACAATCACTGCTATTGCTGTAATTTCCAGTTAAATAAAACTATTGTAGAAAAAACTCAACATTAAAAAGTAGATTTCAAATCACATCAGCCTACTGTATGGACTACTCATTGTATTATGGAAGACTTTATAAGTGACGAATCAACATTTTTGTGATTCAATGTATTACATTGCATTTCTATACTTTATCTTAAAATCTTCAGAAAATGGAGGAATAAAATAATATCAATATCTCTCTCTTTCTCTTTCTCTCTCCTTCGTCCCCTCTCTCTCACCCCTTCCCCCGTCTTCCCTACTCTCTCTCCCCCTTTCCCTCTCCCTCCCTCTCCCTCTCCCTTTTTTCTCTCCCCACCTTTCTTTCTCCCTCTCTCTCTCCCTCTATCTCCCTCTCCCTCTCTCTTTCAGATTCTCTCTCTCTCTCTCTCTCTCTCTCTCTCTCTCTCTCTCTCTCTCTCTCTCTCTCTCTCTCTCTCTCTCTCTCTCTCTCTCTCTCTCTCTCTCTCTCTCTCTCTCTCTCGTATAGTGGTGCATGTAAGTAATACAGGAGGTCTCATGCACACATTACATATTATTGGCACAATCCACATTTTCAAGACACTACAGGCAAGTTTGAAATATAAGACACGCTAACGTTTCGTTTCCAATGTAAAATATTTTCTTAAATTTATTTCAACATGCACGTTCTCCAATAATTGAGAGATACAACCTTAGGAATGTATGTCCTTTTAATGTATCAGCTGTAATCACGTACTTGCTAAGACATTAAAATTAGTATTAAAATGTTTCGTTCGCTCCTCTAATGTAATGCTAAATGAATTAAACGAGAATGTAGCTGTAATTACTAACTCCTTCCACTGATAGAACATGTTAAGCAAATGAGACGAGAATGTAGCTGTAATCAGTAACCCATTCCACTGAGAGAACCGGAAGAAATGTGAATAATTTAGAAATAGATTAATTACTAGGGTACTAAGGGGAACCTTGACTAGTCTTATTGCGACTGAGTTAACCTTATGCAGAATTATTGTCGTAAAGCTATACCAGTTTTTTGTTTTATATGGTTGTAGAATTGATCTGTAACCAGTTTGAGAATATGCAATCTTTTAGTTCTTACTGGTCAGCAGCACTGCGTGAATGCTTACGTCTTCATTTTGTTGACTACAAACATATTGCCAAATTCATTATCATTTCTAATTCGATTTAAACAGTTGAGGATCATAATGGCCAATGAAGAATATTTCTTTTCTAATTTGCCATCACTAGAATGAAACAACTTTGTTTTATATAGAATTACTTGCATAAACATTGTGATACGTTTTTGGCATAGTCGGGATTTGGAAACGGGAATTGTTTTTTAATGCCCTCTACAGTCGATATTTGTTGAAACTTAGGCCCTCCTAAAAATGAAAAAGACCAGACCTACTGCAACATATGACTTTATTAGTGAAAGTAAAACACCTAATCAGTATTAATCAGGAAAATGGTTGAATCCTAGAAATAACATTAAGAATTTTTGCCACTATACACACGTGTGTGGGTGGGTGAGTCTACGATACACGTATGATTTATTCTGCATGAATGCAAATGACAGTTTTCTTCTGCTTTTTATGAAACATATTCTTTGTTCTCCCGCCGTTGATACCATAATACCAGTGTATGGTTAAGTTAGCACAGTAACATAATTCATCACAGAGAAACAAGTCATTAACAATAGTGTTACTAACCTCATTTCTGTATCGTCTATTCCATCTCAGAACCACGGACAAATTGTAAAATGATCGGCTCAATAAAGCCAAATTTCTTATCAAAATTAAGATGAGATCTTATAAACACTAAGTCCACTGGAAATATCGTTAATGGTGCTGATATATACTGTTTATGTACATCTTCCCATGGTTGTTATATCATCAACAAAACATGGATGTGGGGATTGATTGTTATGCACAATGATTGTTTTGAAAGTGAGACACTAATATTTTACCTCATATTTAATGTTTTGAATCCTTGCGTGTAATTGGGTGTAATAATGATTTTGTCATTGCCATTGTCGTTGTCGAAGTGCACGTATCAGCTGTAATCTTGTTCCGTATTTAACGCAGACTAAGCATCATGACTGGCTGATTCCGTGTATTACATAGTTTACATATATGGCGTGGCATTGAGCAGAAAGTGAAGCAAATGCATAAGACCATTCCTTAAGAAAAGCTATGAACACAGGAAAACTGGCCGTCCAATTATATAAATATTTAAAATGTGCCCTAGAGTGTGTTTATATATTTTGAGGACAGATGAAATGATTAACCATGTAAAGTGAAATTAAATGTTGCATCAAAAAAAAAAGAATAACATGAATCGATGAAAACTTTCTAATACTAATTACATGATGCTGATACTGATTATAATGTCTAAAACATATGGCTGTGACGTACAAAACCCAACATTCTCTGAACACAGTGATTCTTTAGATTTATTTAAAACTTGCCTTTTGCTTCAGTCCTTCTAGGTAAACGATTGTTATTTGCCTTCATACCATTACAATGAGAAAGATTGCGGTTTGCCTTCATACCATTATAATGAGTGTTACGTATCGGCTAGTTCAAAGTATCACGAAGAAAGAGTGAAGACAACAAGCTTAAAATATTTTAAATGAAAATGATTTATTTTCCCAGAAAACATGAAAAAATTGTAAATATGTAAAACAAGACTTAAGATTTACGGAAACGATACAGATTGTTTGTGAACAGTTCTAAAAAAAAGTCTGAAGTTCAGTTCCGGTCCAAGATGGCAGATGATGACGTCAGACGAAAGCTAACACAAAAATCCAGAATTTACACAATGAACCACAGTTTGTATTATTCCATTCCAATTTAGAATATTTTCAGAAAATGTCTTTGTCCAAGCCAGTAATATTGTTCTCGAGGAAAACAATGATTTAGAAAAACGAAGTACAATTAGCTCCACTAACGAAACTCATGTTGTTCTACGTAGACATACGAACAGACAACTTCTTCTAGCACAAAAATACCTTTTTAAAGGTAATAGAAGCTGTTTAACTCTTAAGATGTTACAATAGGCTACAACTCGGTCCTTCATTCTGGCTGTGACTCCGAACTTTCTTACAAATGCCTAAGCATATAAACGAAGCTAATACATCCTATCAATTACACGCGCACGGAGGTCACGAGTAATGTTGCAATACATCTGGACATTAAGAAAGTCTGACCAAGTATCAGCCAATCGTTTTCATTGCTTTTCCTGAATGTTTACTTATAACGAATTTGCCATCATACACAGCACGTGCTCACATGAGTCACATTTACGACTTAAGTAAACACGATGTTTCTAACAACATATTAGACTCATGCTAACATAATCATAATAATAATTACATTTAATGAAATAAAAATGAAATGAAAAGATTTATACAGAATTCATTCTATAACACACACACTTCAACTACAGAGTCGTAAAATGAGAACGATTGCGATTTGCCGTCATACCATTATAATGAGAAAGATTGCGATTTGCCGTCATGCCATTATATTGAGAAAGATTGCAATTTGCCGTCATACCATTATAATGAGAAAGATTGCGATTTGCCGTCATGCCATTATAATGAGAAAGATTGCGATTTGCCATCATCCCATTATAATGAGAAAGATTGCGATTTGTCGTCACACCATTATAATGAAAAATATTGCGATTTGCCGTCATGCCATTATATTGGGAAAGATTGTTATTTGCCGTCATACCATTATAATGAGAAAGATTGCGATTTGCCGTCATCCCATTATAATGAGAACGATTGCGATTTGTCGTCACACCATTATAATGAAAAATATTGCGATTTGCCGTCATGCCATTATATTGGGAAAGATTGTTATTTGCCGTCATACCATTATAATGAGAAAGATTGCTATTTGCTGCCATACCATTATAATGAGAAAGATTGCTATTTGCTGCCATACCATTATAATCAGAAAGATTGCTATTTGCTGCCATACCATTATAATGAGAAAGATTGTGATTTGATGTCATAATATTATGATGAGAAAGAATGCGATATGCCGTAATACCATTATTATGAGAACTTTTCAAACCTTTAATTTCGAAACTATTGACACGCAATTATTAATCTGAATAGGAGACATTTATCACATATCATCGTCATAATTTTCATCAATCCCTTAATTCAAGAGATCATTGGGGCACAACAGTTGACATTGCAACCAATTTTCTCCATCTTTCCCTGTTCTCAACTGACCTTTATGAATCTCCAAATCACATGCCTGTCCAATGTTGTTTTCCCATCTCTTTTTCTATCTGCCTCTTCTTCTATACCCTTATACTGTGCCTTGCAAGACCATTTTTTCCAGTCCAGATGATTTTTCAGATATGACCGTACTAGTTCAGTTTGTGTATTTTTACAATGTAGAAGATGTCTTGTTAGATCCTGTTGTGGACGTCTTCGTTGGTTACATGGTTAATGGATGAAGTGCCCCAGATCGTGTGGCATCGTCTCATTTTGAAGGTTTAAATCTTTCTTTGTATATCTTATGTGAGCGTCCATGTTTCACAAGCATATAGACAAA